TCTGTTTTTTTAAAAAAGCATATTCTCCCAACCTAAACCTCTGGATCACATATGATACATAATACAATGTAAATGCTGTATAAATAGTTGTTAGACTACATTGCTTAGGGGATGATGACAAGAAATATCTATACACATTAAGCACAGATGTAAATTTTCCTTTTGATCTTTGTAAAAGATTTATTTATTTGGACGTCAGAGTGATAGGGAGGGAAGGAGGAAGGGAGGGAAGAGGAGAGAAAGAGAGAGAGAGATTGATTTTTCCTCCAATGATTCATTTCCCAAATGCCTGCAACATCCAGGTCTGGGCCAGGTTAAATCCAAGAGCCAGGAACTCCATCTGAGCCTCCCGTGTGGATGTCAGGGCCCCAGGTACCTCAGCCATTATCTGCTGCTTTCCTTGGCACATTAGCAGGGAGCCGGATCAGAAGCAGAGATGCTGAGACTCAAACTCGGACTTTTGGAGTATTTTTGACCCACAGCTAGTTGAATACGCAGAGGCAGAAGTTGTGGATACAAAAGACTGACTGACTTTGCCCTTTTAATTATAATTCTTTGATTGCTAACCAGGTTGGTAACTTTTACTATATTTATTGGCTACCTTTATTACTGCTTTTATAAACTGCCTATTAATGTCCTTTGCCCCTTCTTGACTTTGTAATTGCTATTAATCCTTTCTCCCAGTCTGTCATTATTCCTGTGACCTTTATGCTGGTTTTTCCTGTACAGAAGGCATGCATTTTTATGTTGCTAAATTATTAGCTTTTTATTATGGTTTTACCTTTGATGGTGTCAAGTTTAGAAAGATCTCTGAAATCTTTTTTTTTTTTTTTAAGATTTATTTTATTATTTGAAAGAGTTACAGAGAGGTCTTCCATCCACTGGTTCGCTTCCCAGATGGCCAATCCGGAGCCAGGAGCCAGAAGCCTTTTCCAGGTCTCCCACATGGGTGCAGGGTCCCAAGGACCTGGGCCATCTTCTACTGCCTTCCCAGGCCATAGCAGAGAGCTGGATCAAAATTGGAGCAGCCGGGACTAGAACCAGCATCCATATGGGATGCCGGCACTTCAGGCCAGGGCTTTAACCTGCTGCACCACAGCACCAGCCCTGACCTCTGAAATCTTAACTCTCATGTTTTACTCCAGTAGATTAGTCTTTTGGTTTCTGAATCTTTCAAACTCTAACACTAAACTTAAAAAAAAAAAAAAAGAAAGAAAAAAGAAAGAAAGAAAAAAGGAAAGATTGATTTGAAAGAGTGAGAGAGAGAGAGTCTCCAATCAGCTGGCTCATGCCTGAAATGACCACAACAGGCAGAACTGGGCCAGGCTGAAGCCAGGAGCCAGGAACTCCCTCCTGGTCTTTCACATGGGTGGCAGGGGACCCAAGCACTTGGGTCGTTCCCATCGTCTCCCTGGGAGCATTAGGAAGGATGTTGCATCAGGAGCAAAGCAAGTAGGACTCCAACCAGCACTCTGATATGGGATGCCAGGAACACTATGCTCTTCTTCTTTTTTCTTTTCCTTACCTCTATACTAGTGCATCTCAAACTTGGATATCCATGTGGATCATCTGGAAATGTTATTAATGAATATCCTGATTCAGGATTGGGACAAGAGATTCTGCCTTTCCAACAAGCTCTCTGTGGTGTCAGTGCTGGCCACACTGCCTGTCACTAGGTCCTCCACCTTCAGACCTCAGTCTTGGGCACTCCCTCCCTCCATTCTCTGAGTTGCTCACTCCTCCCCTCCCTCTGAGTGTGAAAGCCCACAGCTGCAGTTCCAGCCATCCCTCACCCTCTGGTTTTCTGGAGCAGCAGTCAGTCAAATGTCTGATTTCTAAAGCAGGTTCCAGTTCCCGTTCCTTCCATGACTTCGCCTACACTTCCCTGTTCTCAAGCCCATTTCCCCTCCTTTCAGTCTCTTAATCACTGAACAATGAAAGGAGAACCTCTTCCAGCCATCTAGCGGGGGACACATTTAACATGTTAACTACTGCTTCTGTTTTAAAAATCCACTCAAAACCCTACAATGTCATGTGAAGATTTTCTAAGTCTAAATCTAAATCTTAGAAAATTCTTTTGTGGCCGGCGCTGTGGTGTAGCGGCTAAAACCCTAGCCTGAAGCGCCAGCATCCCATATAGGCGCTGGTTCAAGTCCCGGCTGCTCCACTTCCAATCCAGCTCTCTGCTATGGCCTGTGAAAGCAGTAGAAGATGGCCCAAGTCCTTGGGCCCCTGCACCCATGTGGGAGACCCAGAAGAAGCTCCTGGCTCCTGGCTTCAGATCAATGCAGCTCTGGCCATTGTGGCCAATTGGGGAGTGAACCAGCATATGGAAGATCTCTCTCTCTGTCACTCTGCCTCTCCTTCTCTCTGTGTGTAACTCTGACTTTCAAATAAATAAATAAATCTTAAAAAAAATTATTCTTGGGGCCAGTGTGGTGGTATAGTGAGTAAAGCTGCCACCTGCAATGCTGGCATCCCATATGGATGCTGCTTCATGTCCTGGCTGCTCTGCTTCCTATCCAGCACCCTGCTAATGGCCTGGGAAAGCGGCGGAACATGGCTCAAATCCTCGGGCCCTTGCACCCATGTGGGAGACCCAGAGAAAGCTCTTGGCTCCTGGCTTTGGCCTGACCCAGCCCTGGCCATTGTGGTGATCTGGCAAGTGGACCAGTGGATGGAAGATTCCCTCTTTCTCTCTCTATAACTCTTTCAAATAAATAAAAACTCTCTGACTTTCATATCAAATAAATCTTTTTAAAAGAAAATTATCCTTAAAGATTTAGTAATGAAACTGGATTATGTATTTTCAAATGGGCTCTATACAGTCCTTACAATGCATCTGACAACCTTCTCTAGGTAGGCACAATTACAATTTCAATTCTACCGGCCAGGAAACTAAGGCACAGCCAGTTAGCACAGCCCCTGAGTGTCAGATCAAGGACTGGCAACTGGACAGTGAGACGGTGAAGTTTCAGTTCTTAAAAGGCCCCCTCCAGGCTGGCGCCGTGGCTCACTAGGCTAATCCTCCACCTGCGGCACCGGCACACAGGGTTCTAGTCCCAGTCAGGGCACCAGATTCTGTCCCGGTTGCCCCTCTTCCAATCCAGCTCTCTGCTGTGGCCCGGGAGTGCAGCGGAGGATGGCCCAAGTGCTTGGGCCCTGCACCCGCATGGGAGACCAGGAGAAGTACCTGGTTCCTGGCTGCGGATTAGTGCGTGTGCCAGCTGCAGTGGCCATTGGAGGGTGAACCAACGGCAAAGGAAGACCTTTCTCTCTGGTCTCTCTCTCTCACTGTCCACTCTGCCTGTCAAAAAAAAAAAAAAAAAAAAAAAAAAGCCTCCTCTGCTGCATGCCATCAGGGCAGCACCCCCCAGGGATTCCTAAGAGCTAGATTCTAGGGATAATGTCTGCACCTCCTCTTCATCTGTATCTGCATCGTAACAAATGGGCAGGCCACCTCACAAGTGCTTTCAACCCTTGAAGGCACATCGCAGTCACCCATGGTAAGAGTAGTTGTGCTCAGTTAGTCTGGGCTGTGCCCCTGGCAGCAGTATTTTTAATCTTTTCAACATGAATGCAATTTCAAATCAATCCTTTTCAGATGTTTTGCTTTCAGGGAACCCTTGCAGGGGGCCCCCCATTACCCCAACCAGGCTCCTAAAATCCACAGGGTGGGTGTGCATGTACACATGTGAGGCTGCGAGTGTGAGGGTGGCAGTGTGCACGTGCCCGTGCGTGCACCTTCAGAGCAGGGTGCAGCGGGGGGGTTTGGGTGAAGCTCTTGTTTGCCCTGGGTACAAGCACAGAAAGAACGGGGGTCGGACTGGGGAGGGCAGGTAGAGGAAACAAGCAATTTCTAGCAGTGGCTCTGCTTTCTCCCACCTGAGTTTCAGTTTTAAATTTCACTCTGTGTCAAATCCCATCTTACATAAAACGTGTGGGAAAATTTTCTGGACTCTGTACTCGAGGGCACTTAAAACCTCTCTCTTTCTCCCCATAACCCCCATCATGTTCTTCCTTCTTTTTTCTTTTTAAGGTTTATTTATTTAGGAGGCAGAGTGACAGAGGGAGAGGCAGACAGAGAGAGAGGTCTTCCATCCGCTGGTTCACTTCCCAAATGGCCACAACAGCCGGAGCTGGGCTGATCCAAAGCCAGGAGCCAGGAGCTTCTTCTGGGTCTCCCGCGTGGATGCAGGGGCCTAAGCACTTGGGCCATCTTCCACTGCTTTCCCAGGCGCATTAGCAGAGAGCTGGATCTGAAGCCAAGCAGCTGGGACTTGAACTGGTGCCCATATGGGATGCAGAGTGGCAGGCAGAGGCTTAACCTGCTATGCCACAAATGCCTCCCCTACGTTCTTTCTTCTTTAAAGCCCTTGCACTTGGGGAGCCTGGCGGGACCGGGCTCTCGGCCCTGGCTGCAGGTGGGCTGCGGGACCACCAATCTCGAGAAACCCGGCCGAGCCCTAAAAGTCTCCAGATCCGCGCTCTGCTCGCGATACCGAGGGTAGCTCGGAGCCCGGCGCGGGGCACAGGCGTGGCTGAAGCCAGGACGCACCTCCAACCTTGGGCGCCGGCTCCTGGAGGTGCGAAGGCGGCCCAGGCCCCGCCCCCGAGGGCTCCACACAGCGCTGGAGTGGCCGGCGAGGTGTCCGGGGGCGGAGCCCGGGCACCCCGCCCCCTGACCGCGCTATAACTTAGGCCAGGGCAGGGTGGCCGTGGACTGGTGGAGATGCGCGCCTGGGCGCTGGTGAGACGCGGGGCGCGCGGGGTCCGGCGTGGTGGTGGTGCGGAGCGGAGGGGCGAGAGGGGGCCCGGCGCTGAGCTTTGGGTTCCGGCCACCTGGGGGCACTGCTGCTGCCCCTGGGGCTTGCTTGCAACTTTCACCTCCCGAGCAACAGGCAGCAGCGTTCGTGCCGGGAGACCCTGCGAGCGGAGGAGCAGGGCTGGCAGTGCCTTCGTCTGTACCCAGCTTTATTATGACTTTTGTTCATTTCCAGAACATGGACTTTGCGCGCCTGTGGCTGGGGCTGCTGCTGCCTTTGGTGGCCGCTCTGGACTTCAGCTACCACCACCAGGAAGCGCTGGAGGCGTTCCTGAAGCGTGTTGCCCAGAACTACAGTTCCATCACTCACTTGCACAGCATTGGCAAGTCTGTGAGAGGTAGGTCCGGCCCCTGATCGTTCATTAAGTGCGGGGCTCCAGACGTGTACGCGGCTGCCTTTTGTATCGGTGCTGTCTGCTTTTCTTGGAGTTTTTGTCCTGTGTGCGCGGATGGGGAGTGGGCAGGGCAGAAGGAAGGGCTGACCTCTGCCGAGCCACTCCGATGTCCTAGGTCACCGAGCCCTTTTGCGTTGTTGGGCTCAGTGTTTTTGCACCTTGTAGACGCTGGTTGTGTGGGATGTGTATTTCCATTCCTTTTCTAGATCCGTTTCTCCCAGGAAAGGCTGTTTATCCACCTCAGTTATCCTTTTTGTTAGTTTATTTGCGTATGTCTTGGACAGTTAGTATCATTTCTTCAATCTCTTTGATGCTGAAGTAGTGCAAGTTTTGTTGCTAAGATTTTTATGCCATGTGTAATTAAGCGCATGACTTAAAAGTGAGGCAAAACTATCATTTCTGCAAGTTTCTTTTCATCCTAAGTAGCACGGTTCTGTTGGTAAGATTCGTGTCATCTATAATTAGTCCTGTGGCTTAAAGTTATGCAAAACCATGGCTCTGTCACTAAAGGCTGATTTTTAAAATTATCCATTTCAAGGAGATAATGGCTACATTGTGTGTGTAGATGGATGTAGATACTGATACTCTTCCTAGCATTTTCATGTTTATTATTGAATTGCTTCATTGTTTTAATTTAGAAACTATGTACAGGCATATTATATTATTCTGATTTTTACAGACAGCAAAGTTGAATCATGGAGAAATTAGATAGTTTGTTTCAAGATCACTCAGATGCTGATTTCATAGCCAGAATTGGCATTCAGATCATTTCGGACAAGGCAAATAATTTCGTCACATACTGTCATTTCTTAATCATCTTTTACTATACTGATAACCCCAAAGACATTACCAGAAAACTTAATAACTGAGTTTAAAGTTTCATGAAGTTTATGCAATTTGTATCACAACTCTTTGTAATGTGTGTGCAAACTACCTGGATTTCCATTCTGAGCTTTCAAGTCAACTTAATTACCATATACTTAAGCAATCATTTTTTCAAAACAAATTAATGGGATGATTTTTACATTAGGAAAAAGTATTAGCATGCAATGCAAAAAACAAATTATGGGCTGTGTGCAATACTACCTTCATTTTTAAACAACGTTGCCAAAGAGTTGGTGCCAGAATTACTCCACATTGCTCTATAATCCAAAATTACAGAGGCTGTATATTTAGAAATCAGATTTTGAATCAGCATATGTACCTTTTGAAATCATTTTCCCTAAGGCTAGAATAGGGCAATTTAAAAAGATCTAAGAATACTAATTATATTAATAAAGAAAATATAGAACACAACCAGCTTGAGTTATTGTTCAGTCATCATTTAAACCACAAGATGATGAGGATGTTGTTAATTTTAAGTGCTAAATGACTTGGTAACTTTTTATGTTTTCAAACACAAAGTGCTTGTGAAAGATACTTGGGGACTTTCTTTCTTAATGAGTACCTATTATTCTGATTTATCCTGCATGAAATCAAACCACAGTGAAAGCCAGCAGGCTTAATTTTATTTTTACCTTGTATGCACTCTTGTGGTTAAAGGATAGAAGGGTTATACTGTAAAAATAAAACCTGACTCTAGCAGTCCAATATTTGTGTTGAATCTGTCGCTCTTAATAATTACTGAGAATAGGAAGAATCTCAAATCCACTATTAGGTTGTAAGTGGCAGGTTGAGCTGCATGCCAGTAACTGGGAGTCAGTTGACACAGTATCACTGCCTGTTGGCGCAACAATAGTATTCCTTTGCTGGTACGCCCCTTCCTTAGGTAGGGAATCTTCCTATTCTGCCCTCTGCTGTAGCTGGAGTGTGTTCACAAACAGGGTTTGCTATATGTGCTATTTATTTATTTATTTTTACTATTATTAATATGGGCAACCTTACCCAGAAGGAAATATAATATCCCTACCTGGCCAAATATGCTTTTAGTTTTTGTAAATTCATATCCCATATCTTCTTGTTGCTGTAATCATGGATTATATTTTGCTTTTCTTTCCATTTCACTACTATTTCCAAAAGTAGTATGAATTACTTGCTGCCTCATATTACATTTTTAAAAAATGTGAAGGCGCTCTCATCTGCTTGTTCACTCTCCAAATACTCTCAGTGGCCAGGGTTATAGTAAGGCTGAAGCCAGGAGCTGGGAATTCATCCCAGGTTACCCACATGGATGGAAGGAACTAAGTTACTTGAACCATGCATGCTGCCTCCCAGGGTGCATGTTAGCCAGGAGCCGGAATTTAAAGCCCACCTGGCATGTGACCTCGGTTATTCCAGTACAGGATATGGGCACCCCAAGGGGCATCTTAACTGTGCCAAATGCCTAAGCCCACCCCACTCTTTCATCTTCTTGATTATGCGAGTTTTCTCATTTACCTCTTTGGGGCATCTGTATAGCGTCTGATTATCTCTGTTATAAGCAGTGATGCTATCAATTTGTTGGTACATGTCCCGATAATTACCTTCTATGATCGTATGTTGTTTTCTCAGTCTTTTGAGATTTTTTGAAGCCCACAGAGAAGTCTAGCACGCAGATGTCCCTTACCTAGATTGAGCCACGGTAGTCTGACACATTTCACTAGCGCCTTCTGGAGGAAATCCCGCTACCTAGTGACATGGTGAAGAAAATCTTTGATGAAAGAAAAGCAACGCAAAGGGGGGAAAAAAAGACTGAGAAAAATCAGAAAAGGTACTTTCTTCCATGTAGTTAAGGGAATATTTCCCTTTTTAGCTTCTAACCCCTGACGCCTGGCATACAATCAATAATCTATACGGGTTTATTTAATGGATTCTACATCTGCTGAGCAAGAAGCCCCCTAGAGGTGCAGTGCTGTGCAGTAGGTTAAGTGCTACCGCGATGCCTGCATCCCATACTGGAGGGCAGGTTCCAAGGCTGGCTTCTCCGCTTCCAATACAGCTCCCTGCTGATGCACCTGGAAAGGCAGCCCATGAGGTTTCAAATCTTTGGGTCCCTGCCACTCCCACGGGAGACCTGCATGGAATTCCAGGCTCCTGACTGCAGCCTGGCCCAAGCCTGCATATTGTACCCATTTGGGAATTGAACCAGCAGGCGGAAAATCTCTGTCTCTGTCTCTGTCTCTGTCTCTCTCTCTACAAGGAAACTTATTTTTTTAAAAGTGCCATAAAAAGCAAAGATGTGTGCCATCCCTTCTGTGCTACTCTAAGCGCCCCCTCTCAAACACAAATGCATTTGCTATGTACTTCTCACTTGATATTAGCCAAAAGGCTGAGAAATGAAAACTGTGTACCTCGCAAGCGAGGTTCTTCACACCTTCCAAAAATAGTTTAGAACCATTTTATTTTTTTAAGGGAAGAAAAGTCAAAAGAGAAAGAATCTTGTCTTGAAGGCTACTCTCAATGGATTGTCACTGCTGGGGAGCTGCTCAGCTATGAACAAAGCCCCGTAAGACGTTTCTAAATGAGATGTCCAAACATCTCTGTTTGAGAAATTTGTCTTTCCTCCTGCTAAGTCCCCTCTTTATTTTATCTGCATGAGGAAGTCTGCAAAGGGGAAGGGGTAGATAATCATCATCTCTCTCTCTCTCTCTTTTTTTTTTTAAGTTTCTAAGGATTTTATTCAGTGAGAGGAATGCACAGGAAAGTGAGGGCTTTAATTAGGGGAGAGAGAGGTCTAGAAGCTAAATTGGATCCACACCAGGCAGAGAGCAGGCCAGGAGCCACGTGGAGCAAACACGTAGACAGGAGAGCAGAGAGCTGGTGGCCCGAAGGCCGCGGTGCCCACAGGGGAGCAGGGGTGGGGCCAACTGTGTTCTGGGCCTTTTATTTACTCCCAAAGGGGGAGTGGTTACGTAGTCTGATTGGCAGATGGATACGTACAGGTGTGGTCAGGTAGGGGCATGAGATCACGCAAGGGGCATGGTGGAGAGCGTGGTCTCCAGCTTATAAATCTAATCAAGTTGGGCCCGGTGCTGTGGCGTAGCGGGTAAAGCTGCTGTCTACAGTGCTGGATCCCATAAGAGCACCGATACAAGTCCCAGCTGCTCCGTTTCCAATCCAGCTCTCTGCTGTGGCCTGTGAAAGCAGCAGAAGATGGCCTAGGTCCTTGGGCTCCTGCACCTGTGTGGGAGACCCAGAGGAAGCTCCTGGCTCCTGGCTTCCGATCAGTACAGCTCTGGCTGTTGCGGCCAATTGGGGAGTGAACCAGTGGATGGAAGGCTCCTCTCTCTCTCTCTCTTTCTCTCTCTCTCTCTGTCTCTCTGCCTCTCCTTCTCTCTCTGTGTAATTCTGACTTTCAAATAAATAAATCTTTAAAAATAAATAAATAAATCTAATCAATTTGAGCCTATCTGCCTACCTATATCATTTCCCCCTCAGAGACTCCAGACCTTAATCTTAAGGGTGTAGAATCATATTTTCTATAGCTGCTTCCTTCTTGTTAGGAAGGCGGCACGGGCCCTGCCTGTCTGGGTCTGGCAGTTTCTGACTATCTCATCTAACAAGTTCACTTTGTGAGCTGGCATAGGCTCGGTCACCACCAGGGGCTGTGTCCCCTGCAAACCAGCTTTCTTATCAAGGCCCCTCCAGTGCATCTGGTGTTTTAATTATTTTAAACTCAACAACTCAAAGTAGACATCATCTTCTTTTGCAGTGTGCATGTCAAATGCAGCACAGAGCTCATGCTAGTGTGAGAGGGAAGATTCACACTCGGGTCTGCCCATCTTGCGGGGCTATCTTGTCTTCCTTTAAAGAGCTAGCCATGGGTGCAGATAGTTACATGATATTCAGTTTATTTCTAAACTTTCCCTGTTATAAACAGTGCTGTGGAGAACATCCTCCTAGCTAAGCCAACAAAAGTTGTCTAGACACGGGCTTGTGAACCATGGCACCCAAGTTCAGGCCCTAGAGCCTGAAGTTTGTGGCTGTGTGCCTGGCACATCCATAGCAAATGCTACATAGGAGCTGCCA